CGCAGAACACGACGCAAGTGTATTGGCGTCGTTCAGTGCAGGACGAGTTGCTCACGGCGGTACGACAGTGCTCCGCGTGCGCGCCCGGTCACCCACCAGCGGACACACTCACCCGTCGCCACATGGCCACAACCTGGAACACGACACGAGCGGGCTTCGGCGTCGCCTGCATTAAGTACGTGAATTTGGGAGCCGACGTTTGATTTCGCTGGCAGCTTGGTTCCTTAAGTACAGAGCACACGTCCGAGTATCACACCGAACCACCGTCGCCTAAAAGCTTCGTGCCGAGTAGATTAGACATACAGGATCTGTGACGTCACGCTATCGATTAAAAACCGACCACATACGCATGCGACGACGACGAAGAAAGGCCTGCGTTTTCGATGCCTGCGCTAACGCTGGCACATTAAGAAGCAATAATAAAACAGGTCACAACAATTTCGCAGGCAAGCCACGTGGAGACAACTGCCTGACGGCAATGTCCCGGGCGAGGCAAGATGTCGCCACACAGCAGCAACGTGGCTGAAGAGCTCCGACGCCGAATACGCCCCCGGCCGAGCCTGCGTTTCAGATCCCCGACGACTTCTCCGCCGTGACGTCACAGACCGTCCGCGGGCCGGCCGTGACGTCACGAGACGGACGCCGGTCCACGCACGTGACAGCAGGGAGCAGCGGCTAGTTCGAGTTGGACAGGAAGGACACCTTGTTGACTGGAAACGCAAAAAAGGGAGCGTGAGAACGCTGGGATCGAATGAGGCCGACTCACTGCACGACGGTTGGGCGGCTCCGGTGAACTGCTGGAGTGGCACACCGACCAGTCGTACCGGAACTCGAGGAGAGCAGGCGAGAATTCGAGGAGAGCAGACGGGAATTCGAGGAGAGCAGACCGGAATTCGAGGAGGGCAGGCGGGAATTCGAGGAGAGCAGACGGGAATTCGAGGAGGGCAGGCGGGAATTCAGGAGAGAAGACGGAAGTTTAAGGAGAGACGGCGGGAATTCAAGGAAAGCCGGCGGGAATTCGAGGAGGGCAGGCGGGAATTCGATGAGAGCAGGCACGATCGAGCGCCGCGGGCAGCAAACGGGGTCGTAATACGGAGGTCAAATAATGAAAACCCTTACACAACCATATCCGACTAAATGAACACAGGGTACGCTTGCAAAACAATACATGATAACCACAATTCCAAAGACTAAATCGTATTGTGCACATTGATTGCTTTGATCTTTACCTCTGGATCTCTTGCCTGCAAGGTACCATCTCAACCCAACCTGACGTGCTGAACTAAATGACCTCTTGTCACCTGACCACAACCAATCAGCATAAAACTAGAGTCGACAGCATTCACCGGTCGCACCCAACACGTGAACGCAGCCGGGAGCGGGCCCCGCTGTCTGACCTGCGCTGTTGTCGAGCGGCGCCGGCGGGTGGAGGGTCGGGGCGCCGGCGAGCACCGCCTCCGCCTCGTCCTTCTCCAGCTTCATCTGGGCGTCGTCCACGGTCACCGCGTGGCTGCCGACACAGAGGGAGCTCTCTATACCAGAGGCCGGCGGCGGCTCCGGAGGGCCGGAGCCGGAGCACAGGGGGCGCTCTCTGCACCACAGGCCGGCGGCGGCCCCCCAACACACGGCCCCGCCGCCACCGACGACCAGCACAGACCGACAGAGGACCCGCCCACGAGCGGGCGTCATCTACAGACTGTGGTAATCAGCTGGAGGAGGTCGGCGACGGTGCAATCACACGCCACAGGTGGTGACCCGCCGGCTGCACTAGGCGAAGGAAAGGTCACGCGAGAGTGAAACCGTTTTGAAATTTTGGTTTTCAATGCATTTTGCGCGGTCTAGATCGGTTCGATCAGGTCACGGTGCATCCAAATTGAGGGGCAGAAATTGCGGTTGTTAGACATGGCGCGGGCTCCGTCGGAATCTTGTTGGGTGGTTGTGTTTGAGAACCCCCACTGCCGGTTTGCTTCACCTTTCCCCCCCCCCCCTTCCATGGGACCCGATCCACCCCTCTCAAAACACAACACCGGAGATCCGCTCGTTTTTTTTTGGGGGGGGGGCTGCCCCGGCCCTCAGAGGGGCTCAGACCCGAGACACAGGGGGTACGGGGGGGGGGCGGCATGATCTCTCACATGTCCAGGCCGCCGGCGTCCGCCTTGCCCGTGACCAGCTCCCGCCAGTGGTCGGCCGTGTCCGAGATCACGCTGTGAGCGAACTCGCGGTCCTTGGCCTCGCCGTTGAAGGCGAACTGCCGACACGCGGAGACGTGCGTCACTCACCACCTGGCTCACTGCGCCGTCACGGAATCAGCCTGACGCAGCACACTCAGCCCCTTCTGCGTCTCACACGCTGCACCAAGTCGCCTGTTGGCGATGCGTTACACGCCGGTGGCGGCCATGAATGCCGAAACAAGCGGCCGGTGTGTGGAGTCAAACCCACACCTTCGCAGTCGCATGAAATGACGCGCCTGCGGCGCCGGGACACTTCCCAGCCTACCACATGCCAGGACACTGCCAAATAATACCCCACGCGTAAGAACCGCAGCACGCAATGGTGCATTGGCGGACGAGTGGCAAACAAGAAGAAAGCACTGTCTCATCACAACGTGATCACGCAAAAGCGTCGAGACAAGCAAGGATGGGCTACGATGCACTGGTCCAGACGTAAAACACTGCCTCGATAATAATGCCAGAGCATTCACAACCACGCGACCCAAAACGAAACAACCAAAAAGCAGCGACCAATGCCGACGGACTAGGGCGCTGGTAGCTCGCTCTAGCTCTTGGTAGCTCGCTCTAGCTCTTGGTAGCTCGCTCTAGTAGCTTGGTAGCATCGCTCTCTCACTGCGGCGCGCGCAGCCTATTGTCTGCGGCACCACTGCCCCGACCCAGTGCCAGCCGTCCAGCGCGCGCGGCCGCCTGCGTGCCCGTCACCCGTGACCCCTGACCGCGGCCCCGCGGCCTCACCTTGTTCTCCGGCTTGCCGTCGGGCACCTTGTACAGCCGGAGCCACTCGACGGTGGCGCTCAGGTAGCCGGGCATCAGCTTCTCCACGTCGGCCACGTCTGTCGGCACACCAGCGCGCGTCTCAGCCGCGGCGGCGGGCCGGCCAAGGCGCGGCCGGCCGCCGGTCCCGCCGGCAGGGACCGTCGCCACCAGAGCTCACACAGTGCTGTGCGGCCCCCGACAACCGAGCAGCGGCCGTCGCCGCCAGAGCTCACACAGCGCTGTGCGGCCCCCGGCAGCCGTGCAGCGGCCGTCGCCGCCAGGGCTCACACAGCGCTGTGCGGCCCCAGGCGCCCGAGCAGCGGCCGTCGCCGCCAGAGCCCACACAGCGCTGTGCGGCCCCCGGCGGCCGGGCAGCGGCCGCCAGCAGGTGAGAGAGGCAGCAGGACCACCGCCGTCGAGGCATGCTAATGTGACTGAATGGCAGACGGTGTGCCGCCGTCATTCGGCCGTGGCCGCTGTAAGACTCTGTACCGGCCGCTGTGAGGCCCCGTGCCGGCCGCTGCGAGGCCCTGTGCAGGCCGCTGTGAGGACCTGTGTCGGCCATTATGAGACCCTGTGCCAGCCGCTGTGAAGCCCTGTGCCAGCCGCTGTGAGGCCATGTGCCGGCCATTATGAGACCCTGTGTCGGCCATTATGAGACCCTGTGTCGGTCATTGTGAGACCCTGTGCCAGCCGCTGTCAGACCCTGTGCCAGCCGCTGTGAGGCCCTGTGCGGGTCATTGTGAGGCCATGTGCCGGCAATTATGAGACCCTGTGCCAGCCGCTGTGAGGCCCTGTGCGGGTCACTTTGAGGCCCTGTGCGGGTCATTTTGAGGCCCTGAGCCGGCCGGGCGGCGGCGCCCGGCCCACTCGCGGCCACCGTTCCGACCGTTCAGCCGTCAGCCGGCCGAGCGGCGGCGCCCGGCCCACTCGCGGCCGCCGTTCCGACCGTTCAGCCGTCAGCCGGCCGGGCGGCGGCGCCCGGCCCACTCGCGGCCACCGTTCCGACCGTTCAGCCGTCAGCCGGCCGGGCGGCGGCGCCCGGCCCACTCGCGGCCACCGTTCCGACCGTTCAGCCGTCAGCCGGCCGGGCGGCGGCGCCCGGCCCACTCGCGGCCACCGTTCCGACCGTTCAGCCGTCCCGCCGGCCTACCGTTCAGCTGTTCGGCCAGCGGGTCATCCACATTGATGGCAAGGAGCTTCCAGTCCGTCTCGCCCTCGTCGATCATGGCCAGCACCCCTAGCACCTTCACCTGGAGCACCTCACCCCGCCGGCACACCTGCGGAGGGCGGCACAGGGGCGTCACATGACTACCTTCACCTGGGGCACCTCACCGCGGCGGTGCACCTGCGGAGGGCGGTAGAGGGGCGTCACATGACCACCTTGACCTGAGCCACCCGATCGCGCCCGCAGGGGCGTCACAAAGGTCACCCCATCCAGCTGGTATATCCACATATGTCTCAAGACCGCTAGAAGGCCACCTTCATCTGAATCAACCAATCCCCGCACACATGCGACGTCACATCCACAACTCCAACACAATGCACCAACGAAAACCCGAGGCACGAAGACCCGAAAATCCCCTCCCCTCTCCCCATTCCGCAGTTACAGAGCCAAACGGCTGCGACCATCTGGCGACACAGCAGAAATACACAAGAATGAAGGCACTGTGCGAGCCACGGGCCACCGGACAGCGCCAACAGCGGACTGCCCCTCTCCGCTGAATCCTCTTCCGGTGAGCCTACGGCCGCCACAGCCCCGCCGCCCGGCCCGACGCCAGCCGATGACGTCACCCGCCTCAGTGACGTCCTCCGCCGGCCGCTTCGATGACGTCACCCGCCGGCCGTGTGCGGCGCCTCACCTTGCTGCCCAGCTCGCAGACGTCGATGGGGTCATTGTCGCCCATGAAGCCGGTCGACTCGTCCGTGACGTGCGGGTTCTCCCAGGTCTGCCGGCACGGCTCGGCGTCAGCCCAGGAGGTCGGCCGCGAGCCGCGCGTGTGAGGCGCCATATAACGGGTACAGGTCTGCACAGCCGTGATGGAAATGCAACCATTCGTTGCCAAAGTCTAGCCAGTTGGACTATTGTGCACTTCTTAGGTAAAAACATGACCCGACTCAGATTCCACACGGCGCGGACACGGGATGCTCGTTCGCGCTCGCGCATGGCACACCCAAAGCGCGTACAAGTGTTGGTGTGTTCAAATGGCATTGAACGCCATGTTACAGCCGCCGCACGCGAATGCCCTTTGATAAAAATGCTCGACCTCCCTCGTCGCTTAAACAAGGGACCAATAACGGGCGGAGAGCACAACGCAGGTCGTATTCTGTGACTGTAACCTGAGCCAGTGTGCACAGCTGCCTTTGTGAGAGCGCCGGCCCCGGGAGTACACGGCCGGACGGCCGTGTACCCCCGGGGCCGGCCATGTGCCACCGAGGCCGGCCGTGTGCCACCGAGGCTGTGTACCGCCGCCGGCCGCGTACCACCGAGCCGACACCGACCTGAGGCAGGGCGCCGTAGTTCCAGATGTAGCCGTGGTGCGGGAACACATTGGCCACGTAGCGCAGCTTGCCCTTCTTGGTGTCCTGCTTGATGGGGTTCAGCCGCTCGCCGGTGGCGATCTGCCGAACGCAAGGTCTGATCAGGTCGGGCCAGGTCAGGTACAAGTCAGGTCACGTGCAGGTCAGATAAGGTCAGGTCAGGCGCAGGTCATACAAGGTCAGGTCAGGTGCGATCAGCGCGTGCCAGACCGTGCCCCACCAGCCCCGTTCGCTCCGACCGACGGGGAGCGTCGTGGCAACTCACGGCGGCTGGCACGGCCTCTGACGAGTCGGTACACTGCGTCGACCCGAACAGCGGGATGTGCGCCACCGTGCCTCACAACTCACGTACCATTCCGAGCAAAACTGAGTACCCGGTCATCGCGATCCCTGAGAAATATCGGTTCTGTCGTTTCAATTTGATAGCAGATGAGCACCCCGCCGAGCCACGATCCCGTGTTCAACTTATGATGCCATACTGCTGGAGTTTGGCCTAGGTCAATCGGTTGTCGAGTCTGTTGCATTTCCAGGTGCATTTCATTCGGTAACCTACGATGACCTTTCGCAAAAAATGTCACATGCAGATGAGGGGGTCACACTGCCGTGCCTGAGACGAACGAAAACGAGCACGCTGCGCCGGTTAAGCGCTCATTGCAGAACTATGAGATAAAGGCCATCTGACGAGAATGCAATGCGACACTGTCTCATGAGGGCCTTTCGGGGTGAATGTGCGAGGTCAAGCGCGCCTTGACCAATGCGCACGGTCAAGTGAAGCTGTTCTGTAGCTGCCAAAGCCTGTGACCTTGAAGGGATACCTACCCCTTTCTCCGTCAGTGTCTTGGTCAACAGACCCAAAGCATGGTCCGATTGAATAATTTGCTTTATACAAGCGTGCACTCGCCGAGATCGTTACCATCGATAGTGGAAGGCCTGGACGGACGCTGAGGTCAGTCAAAGTCCACCGATATTGGCCCGCTTAACATATTTCGATTCGTTACAACAGCTGCGCCTCCGACTGCAACTGAGTCAATAACGCGCATGTAAGACAGACATCCATCGTAATCTGACGGCTCGGCCGCCGCCCAGACCGCCCGTACCAGTCGGACCCAGGACATAGCCCACCGCGTCGGCGCGGCGGAGGTGCCCTTGCCACCAGACACGGCACGCGCCCCGGCCGCCGGCCAATCAGCGCGCTTGACCTTTGACCGGCGCCGGATGGTCGTCTCTGCACAGGTGAGCGGGCGGAGGCCGGGCCACGTCTCCGCCCACATCCGCAGACGGTGGGGGAAGGGGAGGGGAGCAGTCGCTTGCGTCGGCACGGACAGCGGCACACGCGCAGCCGGTTGACGGTTTGTGACATCTGTGGCCGATCCCTGTTCACCGCACATGATGCATATCCAGCACCTCGTTTTCCCGCGCGATGTCTTTTTTCAACCACATATAAACACGGCACACGGATATGGTCTCGGAAATTGAGTTGGGGGTCTCAACAGTGACCCAACCTACCCCCAAAATATGCCAACAAACAGGTTTCCCCAGATTTTGCCCCCTTTATTCCCAAAGTTGGGGGGGCTGAAGCCCAAACGGGCGGGGGGGCAACTGAATGTGAATCTACGCCCCTGACAACGCTTATACATATATATATATATATATATATATATATATATATATATATATATATATATATATATATATATATACAGGTACGCACGGGGCATTTGCAAGAAGAGAAACCGACCTTATCGGGGTACCCCCCCCCCCCCACCACGGGGGCCTTCACTGAGTTCCTCTAAATAACTGCAGATACATACATATCCTCGTAACACTTTTCCGGGGCACCTAAATGCATTTCGTGTTAAGAGTGCGGTAGCCATCGACATGTTATCGGGCGTCCGTCTCATTCGCATACCTTTTCTCTCCGATGCCTGGAGACCATGGTGTGCTCGGAGGGGCACGGGCCCGCGTGCCCCCTCACCCTCCCCACACGTAATGTACGACTACGCAAGTGCGCACTGTCATTGCCGGTAACACACAGACAGAGAACGCGGCAGACGGGATGAACGGAGGGGAAAAATAAAAAGGTTTCACGTGCTCGAATCGCATCGTTCCCGTCCATCGACACACGAGGATCTCGCCGCCCCTGGACATGACGTCACCGAGTGCGCGGGCGAATGGATCCCGGCCAGCGTCGGGCCCGCCGGCCGCGCTGTCTGAAATCCACCCGGACAGGGCTGACACCGCGCGGCGGCGAGTGCAATCTCGGCGATTGCACGACAGTAAGTCACGGATACTTCAGACCGCCGACGTCAGAGCACGTAGCATATTTATGACTTCCGACCTCGGGCTGTGAAGAGAGGGCCTGCCCGCTATCACCGTCCGACAGAAGTACGCGAGACTGATACGACAACGGCGGCAGATAGGCATTCATGGTCACTGCCGTCACCCGAGACATTGTCCAGGCCACGCGGCCGCACCAGCGTGTCAGGCGCACACACAGCGAGCAAGTGGTGAGGACTGGACAACGCACGATCGTTCGTCTTCAACAGCACAAATGTCGTAAATGTCGTACGACGACCTTACGACACACAACACGCGCGCTAAAGGGACAGCAGCGGAATTGCAACGTTTCATCGTCGAAATGACGTATCTTCCATCTCCCGCTAGATGCAGACCGCCATTACCGACGCAGTCAACGCAACAGCGGCGAGGCGCGCAATCAAGCGCGATCGCTAATTGGTCGGCTAATATTACGTCACGAGGCGTACTTGAGCATGCCATAGCGTACAGCTGTCTGGCAAGTGCCAAGGTTCTTACAGATACGGCTGATCCAGCGGTCAGCTGTTTGCGGAGTGTTTACGCACAATGGCACGTGATTTGTGATCGATAGCGGTCGCTGCGGAACCAGAAGACAACGCGACGTGGCTCTGCCGTAGGGCCCCAATGCGACGAAAACGAATGAACAATGTTGAAGAGAATGAAGTCGCAATAATAATAAAAAAGGTCCAATGAAAAACAGAGTCTCGCTGGACGAAACTGGGTTGAACTGAATCACGACCCTTAGTTTCAGTGGCGCACCTTTAAGTCCATGCCCTCACCCCTGTCATTTGTGCGTAGCGCTCAGAACCAAACAGAAAAAGCGAACTTGCAGACCGGCTTTGCTAACAGTACCCGCCCGTCCCGTGGTCCTGTTTCGGGACCACCCCTAGTGTTTTCATCTTTTTGCACCTCTTCTAAACGATATTACTTTACTACAACTGACAAACGCCCAAATGACAAAGAAGTCGAAGCTCGCGGGCTGGCGAAAGCGTTGGGCAACAAGCACAGATGTATTTGTTCTCCACAAGTGCGCCACTCGACCGTCACGGCTGTCATGACGTCACGGCTGCCCATGACGTCACGCCGGTGTCGCCTGCTGGGCCGGCGGCGGGCCTGCCGAGGCCGCGCGGGGCGAAGAGCGGGGTGAAGAGCGGGATGAAGAGCGGGCGACGAGCGGGGTGAAGAGCGGGACGACGAGCGGGGCGAAGAGCGGGGTGAAGAGCCGGACGAAGAGCGGGATGAAGAGCAGGGTGAAGAGCGGGATGAAGAGCAGGGTGAAGAGCGGGGCGAAGAGCGGGACGAAGAGCGGGACGACAAGCGGGGCGAAGAGCAGGACGAAGAGCAGGGCGAAGAGCACGGTGAAGAGCGGGGTGAAGAGCGGGACGACGAGCGGGGCGAAGAGCGGGGTGAAGAGCGGGGTGAAGAGCGGCGCGTTCGTCGCACCCCGTCGCACGGTCGCCGAGGCCGCGCGGGGCGAAGAGCGGGGTGAAGAGCGGGGCGGAGAGAGGGGTGAAGAGCGGCGTGTTCGTCGCACCCCGTCCCGACGGCCGCTGATACGTCAGGTCGGAGGCCATGACCGGCGGCGGCGGAAGCCGGCCATGCGGGGGAATCCCGCACCGCGCGTGCCGTCCCCGAGCTGACGGCGACAGTATCAGCCTTGCATCAGCCGCCGCAGCGGCTCACAGTCCACAGGCGGTGTCTGCAGCCGACGCCAACGGCTTACGGCACAATGCTCTCTCCCCCCCCCCCCCCCTCCCCGTCCCTCCCGTCATCCCGCGCCTCACTCCCGGCGCCGGTGAGCGGTGTCCCGGCTGGTGTCTGGGACGACGGGAGCCGCGCTGCTGAGGCAGCACCAACGGAGCGGCACGTGCCTCGCACCACCGAGGCGCAGCGCCGCGACAGTACGGCACAGGCGGGTGGCACCGACTCCTGCGGGAACGTCACGGTAGAGGTACCCCGGCCCTGGGAATCTGACATCGAATCTTACCGGGGAGGAGGAGCACCAAATAGCACACCACTTTCAATAGCGTACCGCGAGATTCGCGGCTGTACTAAATACGCCGAGTTCGGGTAAATGCGCCAATCGCACACACTTCACGATCCATTTCAATCCAGTCACATTTTTGGACGTGGTACTTGAGGCATTGTGGCGTATTCTAAAACCGAGCCGAGACCAGAAAAACGAGCCCAGAAGAACATTTCAGGCGTAAGAAAGCACCTTGCTTTGACAACACATGCTGGCGTCAAGCAATATAACTTGCGGTACCAACAACCATGAACGGCCACTTTTATGGTAAGCGTGGAATATTTTTTAACCACGCCATAACAGCTTGCTACAATGTCCGAAAGGCTTATACTGATGGTTTTCCTCTGAAATTTTTACTCCTCTTGAGATTGTTAGAGCACACCACCCGAGGTCACCGTAGCAGGGCCGTGTGCTGCCGCCCAGCAAACGCAGCTGAGCCATATGCTGAGCCCTCCCTCCCCTCCCCGTCCCAGCGCGCCAGGACACAGTCCAGCGGCGTTTCCCCACGCCCCGAGTGATGGCGGCCGGCGGTGTCGTGTGGCACGGCGCCGGGGAGCAGCTCACAGACGCCTCGGCACGGCCCTGCGCCGCGTCTGCCGCCGACGCACCAGCCGTCGCACAAGCCGACCACCGCGGACGGGGCGACGGCCGCCGCAAACGGGGGGGGGGGGGGGGGTCCGGCCGCCGCAGCGTCGCCGTCTGGAGTCGGTCGACCGCGCAGCTGCAGTTTATTTGCCGTGGGTCCGGACCGGGCCGGCCGACGGACCACCCCGGCCGGCCCGGTCCGGGGGCCGACAGCGGCGCTCCTCCCCCCCCCCCCCCGCCAGCGCGTACAGGGCACAGGCCAGGCACATAGGCTCCGAGCGCGCACGTGACGCCCCCGGCACCCACCGCTGAGTTGCGTTACACTACTTTTGTTTGCCAGCTTTGTAACCGTCTGCCGCTCCGCTTAAGTATTCGGGTCCTTTTGACATCGTTATACGCTATGATTCATTGTCAAAATTGCAAACAAGAACAAGTTCGTGCCAAATCCATTCGACAGTAAGGCAAGAAGCGTAAAAGTCTACACCAGTTCGGCGTAAGTCATCAGCAGTTCATGGTAAGTCATCAGTAGTTCAGGGTAAGAGTCAACAGCAGTTCGCGAAGGCAACAGAGCGTTTTCATCGGTCTCACCTGCCACATAGAGAGCCGTTCGTCCAGGGGACCACCCGGGCAGAGCGGACTGCTCACCATACAGCGGCAGGCAACAGGAGCAGACCTGTCTGAACCCGCGACACAACAGTCCGCCGCCCACCGCCGCCCACCGCCGCCCGGTCAGGTCAGAGGAGCCAGACTGACCTCCATTTTGGCGTTGGTCCAGCGCGGCACCTCCACCACCATGTTGAACACCTTCTTCTCGGCGTCGGCGTACAGCGGGATGTCATGGAACGGCGAGATCGGGCCGTCCGCGTTCCCTGCCGGACCGCGGGAGCACGCGTCACGGGCGTCACGGTACGGGCGTGCCCGTCACGCGCCACAGGCCGCAGGCGCAACCGTCACAGGAGGGCCGACACATGGTCAGCCACACGTCGTGTTTTCACCCGTCTGGCAACCGGACGTTTGCACCAGTGAGTGAGGCAGGCATTGGGAGTGGGTAAGCAGGCATCACACGTAACTCGGGGGTGATAGATTGAATTTTATTGGTTTCTCGGGCCAGCGCCACTCCGGCCAGCGACGCACCACTCCGGCCAGCGCCCCTCCACTCCGGCCACCAGTGCCACTCCGGCCAGCGCCCCTCCACTCCGGCCACCAGTGCCACTCCGGCCAGCGCCCCTCCACTCCTGGCAAGCGCCACCCCGGCCAGCGCCACTCCGGCAAGTGCCACTCCGGCCAGCGCCCCTCCACTCCGGCCAGTGCCACTCCAGCCAGCGCCCCTCCACTCCTGGCCAGCGCCACTCCGGCCGCCCTCTCCAGTTCAGTCGGCCTTTCAAATCGCAAACCATGGTCACCATTGAGGGTTGTGACGGTGCGAATACTCAGGACAAACACGCATGCATTAAGTGTAGATCTTCTTCAGGCTCTTGTCTAACAAGGTTCTTCATATCACCAATGATCTGTTGCGGCTGCGCACAAGACACCCAACGTCTCCAGACTTTGTTTCGGTTCCTTATCGGACTCCGAACATCTCCAAACTCCCAGAGAGGAAGTAGTAATTCGGGCAAAGACGACAGAATGCTGCGAATAAGTGTCCAAGGGCATACTCCTTGTCAGTAATAGTGCCAACAAGTTAACGACAGTTGGTTAATTCTCGCATTGCGTACGTGACATCACCGCTAAGATGAAGGTACCGAATCAAGGACGCGAGACGGTTCAAAACACCGCCTTTAACAAGGACACCCAAACCGGACGATAGCGATTGGGGGTACCGAGACGTCCCAAACGCCATTCATCCGGCGTCACTGGGACGTGCACGGACCAAAACAGGGCCGCCACGTTAATAATAGTATTAAGGTAGGGCATAACAAGCCATCCCAGGCAGGCAGTCACATGCCGCCTGGCAAAGCCATGACCTGTCATATCAGATGTCATATCGATTTTGTCCTTACTTTTGACCGGAGGTACTAGGATTTGTGACGTAAGTTTTTCGGCACCGGTAAAGTTGGCACGAAAAATAAGCATGATGAAATGAAACCCACGGCTGAGGGAAAAGACTATAAAGCTTTCCGACGATGAATTGTTATAAAAATAAGTCAAATAGTCAGACAAAATCAAATAGCTGTACATCCAAAAGATCAAATAATACGAAGCCTTGTTGACAAAAGCAGACAATTTTGATAGTGCCAATACTACAACATCACCACGAACAGCACCCGAAGATTTGAGATTCTTGATACATTTCCAGTAGCCATCGAACATTTAAAATACCATTTCCATATCGCTCATAGTTAACGTAGTTTCACACAGTTGCTTAGTCCAACGGTCTGGTGTTCAGAATTGAAGGACAGCAACGTTTGAGCAGGAGAAATAGCCGGCCACTACCAACATGTAGGAGAAACAGCCGACCACCACCAACATGTTGGAGAAACAGCCGACCACCACTAACACATTTCGGGAGATGGCTTCGGCATCCTCCCTCGGCACGGTTGTGAGGCTTCCTTCAACCCCGCATCACAATGGAAGCAGTTGTTTTGCTATTGTCGGCCTACAGCACTGAACACATCGTCAAACCCAAAAGCGTAAAGCATCTATCCCGCCAGTACTTGTCATGTGGGCACGATGGGTAGTGGATGAGGAGCTACCGCTCATTTGTCGGCTTCTGGCTGCGCCCTTATTGAAACTGTGATTGCTTTTTGACATGCGCAGCTAGGCAAGTAAAAGAAGTACATCGAAGCTCTCAATAGAAGCATCCAACCATACCAGATAATTCGCATGAAATACACTACGGCGTGTATTTCCGCTCGCATTTCCGACATCAAGGCACTGCAGTGGCCTTTTCATCTTGCGATCCACTTTTTCACGAGTTACTCCCCAGCACACCAGCACGTGCTAGCCACCACTTCTGCCATGCCGGTGAGCCCCTGCCGACCGGTGTCGTGAGCCGGGCGGAGGGGGTTGGGGAGGGTCGAGCCGTGATGTCGCCCGCCGCTCCCAGCAGCGGCCGTCGGCCAACCCGTTATCAGCCCCAACTCCGTGTCACGGTCAGAGGAGCCCATCCCCAACTACCGAACCCCACCAAACCTGCACCACCGCCGCTCTAAACGTCACAAATCCTGTCCTGAGCCGGGAGCGCTTCTAAGGTATCGGGCGCGCTTCTGTCACGAATGACCGTCACGCTTGTACCGGAAAGCGAGTCACCGCCACGTCGCTTCACAAATGTCAGCTGGCATTGCCTAACACGCCGCCTCTTCCGCGGGGGAAACAGCCGGATTGGCAGCGGTCCATGCAGCGAATGCGTCACGTGATATGACCGCTTTCTGAACTTCCTTTCCTTCGTGAAAACTTTCTGAAGTACGAAACGGGCCTCCTTCTGGCAGTCGGGCCTGGGCCTGGTGGCCGCGTGTCGGCCACGGCAGCCGGGCAGCCAGCCGGGTAGCCTGCCTCCGGGGCCGCTCGCTCCTCCCTCAGAACGGGCGGCACGGGGAGGCCGGCCACGCGCCCGACACGCCCCTCCTCCCCCCCCCCCCCCCCACACCGCGCTGCTGAGAACGCCGTATTGACGGATCGGTTACCCTTGACAACCCCGGAAAGCCACAATACGAGGGCGACGGCACGCGTCGGTCGCGCAGCTGCCAGAGAACACCGGTCAGATCCCGAGAACAGAGAACGGAACAGAACGGAAGGGCGTATTCCACATTGGCATGGACGTTTTGAGCTGAAGGAGGCATTTAGAAGATCATTCGGTGTAGTTCACAGACCTGTCCTTCTTAAGACTTAAGCCCATCTAGTTACTGAGTTACAAGTCCGCGAAGATGTGCGGACTACTTCGGGAAGACTATTTCTAGGCCTTCTAGCATCATGACGCCACAATAACACCATTCCAAGCCTGCCTCTTCGTCGGTCATGTGGCGACCAAGGTAAAAAAATATGGGCGTCAAAACGTTCATATCTGGCGTTCATGAGCACGTCTTCCAGATATAGCGGTCGCCAATTGGCTCTCAGTCAATATGGTGCAAGCTACGACGACGAAATCGAACAATGGCGTACTGAGGAGCATATTTGCTGAAGACATATCGTGTTGTCTAGAGCAGTCTATTCCATCTTTAAGTATACTAATAGTTATAAGTGAACATATTTCATCATATCTCATGCTTGCTTCACTAGCTTCAAGTGTGGAACATCTCCTTCCAGCATCCGCACATCACGACTTTATCGCAGCGGGTAAAAGGGCAAAATACAAAAAATAGCGTCTCTCGCTGGCAGCTCGAAGCCCACCGGCAGTCGGAAACAATGGCGCAAACCGGTCGACGAGCCATGAGTAATATGCCCCCGTCCGGCAGCTGCGCTGCGTGATTCCGCAGACGTCGACGCTTCTGGAGCTAGCCGCGTATCATCATCATCATTCGTATCATCATCCGTTCCATCATCCATCATCCGTTCCATCATCCATCATCCGTTCCATCATCCATCATTCGTTCCATCATCCATCATCCGTTCCATCATCCATCATCCGTACCATCATCATCCGTTCCATCATCTCCGTACCATCATCCATCATCCGTACATCATCCATCATCCGTTACCACCTATCCATCTCCGTACCACCATCCATATTCCGCATCCTATCAGTCATCCGTCCATCATCATAATCCGTACCATCATCCATCATCCGTACTATCATCATCATCCGTACCATCATCCATCATCCGTACCAGCATCCGTATCATCATCCGTACCATCATCCAGACCCACCTTGCCGCGGCAGCCCGCCGAGTCTTGCGATGACGCGAACAGATTCATGCGCATCGAACGGGACGACGCGCAACCACTCAAAGCCGACGACTCGGCGGGCCAAACGCTCCTCGCAGGTTTATAGCCGCAATGACTTAAAACAGGGCACCCATTAAAGCAAGTCGACAAAGGTCTGGGAGCCGGTAAACTGACCCATTACATCGGGCAGCACTTTGGTTGGGACAGGGTGCGGAAGACGCGGGCCCAGGCCAGGTGGCCGAGTACAGGACAGATGGCTGCATTGGCACGTGCACACACATGCCGATACTGCCGCGACCAGCAACCGTGACGGCTTTGGCGGTGTTCAGAGAGATGTTGCGCGCGATCAGCTGGCGGAGTGGTGGGCGGCTGACCACGTGACCATGAGGCCGAGAGTCGGCTCGGCTCGCGCCCGACACCGGCGCTGAGGCATCGGACGCCCCCCCCCCCCCCCCCCCCCCCCCCCCCCCCCCCCCCCAACACCAGCCCCTCCACACCGTTCCCGTTACACATAACCGAGCCCCTACCCACCCACCACCTCTACTGTTCACCTCACACATAACCGAGCCCCTACCCACGCTCCCACCCTCCAGCAACGGAGGCCAGTCGCTGCCATCACCGGGCCCGGATATGGCCGGAGCACGCAGCATGCAGTCCAGCCGTCGATTCTTGGTCTGATCGACTTCGAGTATCGACCCCTGCGTGACCGCGTGACGCCCGATGAACGTCACGCAACGCTGCGCCAGGTCCGAGGGCGGAGGGGTCGGATGGGAGGACCACCACCCCCGCCGGTCACACAGCGGCGGGGGAGGGGTCGGACGGGAGGACCACCATCCCCGCCAGTCACACAGCGGTGGAGGGGTCGGACGGAAGGACCACCACCCCCGCCGGTCACACAGCGGCGGAGGGGTCGAACGAGAGCGTCGGTGCCGCAGCCCGCTGGCCCCCACGGACCGGTCCGGTCTGGCCGGCACCCGGAAACGACCACCGGAGGTCATCGGCCTCGTCGCAGCGGCCCGGCGAGCCGACCAGTACCCGACGGTGTAACGCAACTCGCGCTTTGGACTGGACCACAACCTCCTACCACAACTTCAGCCGCCTGTATCCAGATCCCACGCCATGATTTCCACCTCGCATCACGGCATTCGCTGCAACAGGCATTGCAAATAACTGAAAGATACCCTCCGCCCCTCCCCGCCTCCACGAGTACAGCGCCAACACCAAACGGTGGCGGGTTTACCGTCTGTAGCTTCATTCGGGCGTGAAAGGTCTGGACGTCTGGACGTCTGGACGGGGCACGTTCAGCATGCTCTGCCGCTAACCTGCTCGGCAGGGACTTAGTCTCGCCGATGCCGCCCACCAAGACAATGCCAAGAGCGACGCCGACAGGGAGAGGCCCACCCTACGCGCCCGCGCAGCATCTCTTATACTCATTCCAGGGCTCATACCCGCAACACGATCTGCGTGCGACTGGCCGGCGCCACCGTGACGCACCGCCCCGAGCCGTGATTGTTCTCCTCACTCAGACATGAGTCATCGCCCCACTCGCCTTACATGCTGACATACTGACCCGGGGCATGGTCCACCGCTGCAGCCACACCCACCGCGTGCATGACAGTGGCAGCGGCAGAACAGGGCGAAGAAATCCACTAAAAAACCCGGAGGGGGGGGGGGGTACATTCAAGCCTGAAATTATGGCGTTTTGGCTAAGCTGTAAACCCAGCATCACTGAACCATGCGCTGTGTTGAAATGGGGACGTGAAATCAAGCACGTGTTTGGTTTGTCACAGGCAAACAGCATTTCAGCATATGCAAAATGTGTTTGTATGTTGTTCAGTGCAGCTGCGATGATCATTGCATATACATGGCAGCAAATTCTTCCTGCTCATAATTGTTTCGACGAAATTCGTAGCCAGCATATCCGTACAATGCTCTTTAAGACCAATAGTGCTGCTCGTAGATAGACCAAATATTCAAGGATATACACCTGCTCGGTGCTAACACACTATTCGTGATTGTTGAGACACCAAGGCTAACTAATACGAAATTATATTTTTGGAGCATACTGACTCCAGTCTGGAGTGCACCGGCTCCAGTCTGCACCATACCAGCTCCAGTCTGGAGCATGCCAGCTACAGTCTGGAGCATACCAGCTCCAGTCAGGAGCATGCCAGCTACAGTCTGGAGCGTACTGGCTCCAGTCTGGAGCATACCAGCTCCAGTTTGGAGTATACCGGCTCCAGCCTGGAGCATACCAGTTCGTCTGGAGCCGGCTTGCACGTGAGGACGCGGCAGTGACCGCGGTGGACTGAACGTCCCCTCTCCCCCCCCCCCCCCCACCCAGTGTGTATGGCAATCACTGGGACACACAGTAAGCTGCTGGCCAGCTAGGTCTACTTTCACTACATGAAAGTCTGCACCTGCACAACTTTCACCACAGGAAAGAAGAAGGCTGATGAGATTAAATGTGAGCCACACTGGACAGTCTGACATTTTGGACAGTTCAGACAGTCTGACAGTCTGGACAGTTCACTTTCTGACTGAGCTTGTCATCTGTGGCCTGGCCAGTAGCCAATGAACAGTCCACAACAGATATCAATGAACAGAACAGATATCCAGTCATGGGGCACACCAAACAGTCCCAGCCTTTGCTTCCCCTCTCCCTCCCCTCATGTCCTTCCATGCATGGCAGAGCTGCTTCCAGGAGATGGGCAATTATGTGGCAGGGCGAGGTCCAGCATATAACTGAGGTCCATCAACAATTCACCATTTTTGACAATGGCATCACAAATAGGCATTGCTTTGTGCATGTGGGTGTTTGTTCAAACACAGTTATACCACACAAGCCATCAGTAGGTCTACAATTCCCAAGCACTGGTTTGGTGATATTCAGTTTGGTCTGGTTTGCTCTTGTTCAGTACACCCTTGTTAAGAGGCTTAGCTGATCATGCTTTAGAAAAGAAGCAAGACGGTGTCCAGACTTTCCGCCTACCCCTTACCGCAAACATTGGGCATATCACACCCTAGTTCTTCTTGGTATGAATGTAGTTGTTCTCTGTAGTTCTTATCAGCCTGCCTTTTATGCCATTTTATGTCAGTACAGGAAAATGTGCAGCCTGACCCAAGCATATGGCTGGCAAATGTCGCCTTTCACAGGCAGGAACATGGAGCAGACATAGCACCACCTAGGGAAAAATTGTCTATAAAGCTTCCATTTTTATCATGCATAATCAAATAGAAATCAATTGAAGTGCTGAAAGGAATGAAATCCTGAGAGGAATGAAATCCACCAATCCAGCTCTAGAAATGGTTATTTCTATGTTCTAAATGATAATGTTTGCATTTCCTGAAACTGAGCTCATGTCAACCAAAAACACTGCTAAAAGAACAATAATATATGAGGTTTATGCTGAAAGCATGACAATTACTTCTTTATCAGAGCTAATGTCACAAAACTGTTCAAAATCTAGCATGTTAACATGCATTTCTTCCTTGTGTCCCATTTATATTTGGTTACAGTTTACATACAGCCAAAAATGATGCTGCCAGAACACCTCCACAGCTTTTCATCCTACTAGTTTATAACACATAAGGACAGCCTGCCTACAAGCATGACCAGATTATCTGAACAGCTCTGCATACAAATGTAATTATAATTCAAATACCTGGTTCCTGAAGCTGGAGGTCTGTTTCAGCAAACCTGCCCAAATGCGTTACCTACATACATTAACAAGTTGAAATGCCTTCAGAGCGCGAGCCGGGCAATGACAATAAAATTAGCATAATTTACTCACGATAGTAGATTCGGTAGTCCTCGCTGTTGGGCGTCCCTCGCTCTTCAAAAGTGACACCAGCCATTGTTGATAAAGGACTGCCCGCTCTGGCCACGTGGACAAGCTGTTGCAGGACGATGCCGAACGCCCCACGTCCCCACACGCCGGCTGCTGATCCGAAAGAACTGACCAGCCGCGGCAACATGTTCCTTTCTAGTGATGACCTTGACAACAACGCCGGCTGCCGAGGGTGGCGGCTTCGTGGACTTTGTACCTCAATAAATTATTTTCTTCTCATAAATTGCACTAATTTGACAGCTGGTAAAGAATGATATGCACTTCATTGGCGCCATAACGAGGGAATCATTTATTCCCTGGCTATTTGAGGCTATACCTTGTATGCACTTTCCTAAGTTATACGCTATTTTACCTATTTTCCCAAATTTTCACTTTTTGGTAGCATTCCTGCTTCAAGGGCTACCAGATCAGGCAGCATTTTCGAGTTATTTTCTGTGCATCATTTTACGCTATTATTGTCCTATTTTGTGTTCACACATTTTCACGCGACTAAATCATTAGGACAAACAGAACGGCCATCACTGAAGTATGCACCCTGATCACCAGCTGAATCAGCAAGCCGAGACGACCAGTTTAGCACCAAAAATCTGTTCCATCACCAATGGTGCCAACCAAAATCTTGTGGAGGAAATCAAGCAGACATCAGGGCTGAAACCTCCGACTACAAGTGGAAGGTCATGAAAATATCAAAATGGATTAAATCGTAGTCAAAAGTACGACATATTGCCCTCCGTAGCATTGGCATCAGCTCCTGGCGATACAAACGCATCCGTGGCCGTTTAGGGGTTCAAGTCACTATCTACGCGCTCGCAGGAGCACATCCAGGATGGTCATACACGGGAGGGGCGGGGGGGGGGGGCATCCCAGTGAGAGCTCATCACGTAATGGCAGTTGTGTGTGCGAGGGGGGGGGGGGCTCTGCATTGTCGATCTTGGCTGCTGCGTCTATGTGCGCTCGCCATTTGACTTCTGACTCGGATGGTATGCGCAGGTGGCAGCGGCTGTGCGATGTCAGGGAGGTCGAAGGGCAGGGGGATCGTCCCAAGCATTACGGCACATGCAGCCTTTTCCATAAAAATCTGCCGTAAAATTGGAATTTCACTATTGGGGGATAGAGCCCTAGAGCATGCACGACACTGCTGTGTGAGCTCTGATTTAAAAATAATCGAATCAAAAACGCTTCGGAGACGATTTCGACAATAAAACATGTCGCCCTAACACGTATATGGACCGCAGTATGGACCGCAGTCGGGCTTATCGAACCTCGGCGAAGCGGGTCCCGGTTTCGTTTCAGGGCCTCGACCCAGGGGCTCTGAATGACCCCTGTTCTGGACTTGAGCCCGTGACTGGCCAGGCCCTTCCACTGTCTTGTTGTAAGCTGCTTCCTGTTCCCTGCGTGAGGGCTGCACCACGGTATGATGGTAGAAATCCGGGTCATCGGCGAAACTCTGCGGAGAAAATTCCACGCCCCACAATGCTCAGCACGCTCGGACCTCCCCTATGACGTCACCTGAACGTAAGCAAGGCTGCTGCTACATGCCACAAGTTATACCAGCTGGAGGCAAACGGTAAGTATATAAAGCGCCAGAGGCAAGCGGCAAGTGCATAAAGCGACTCAAACCCAGCTTGTCACTGGTGAATGAATGAAAAGGTGGGCGCTCAAACCGACTGGTATATGGGGACGAACGGAATGTGTTTTTAATATTTCCATAATATAAAGGTTACGTACGGCAAAACACGTCAAACGGAAGGGGGGAAGGTCATGCAGGTGTAGCTGGTTAGATTGGTGTGGACTGTGGACCATACGGCTTCATGAGCTGGGGAAATCCATAGGTGCCCACGTTAAATGTGTAACAGTGTGGGTAGGTTGTATCTGTACTAACCTGGGTAAGACTTACAAAATGTCGGAGAGATTCTCAAGGACATGCTACGCAATGTAGCTGCACACGCCCCATTTAGATATAATATGGATGGAGCATATTAGCTCCATCCATTTACGTAATTTTGCAATTGCCCATACAACAGCATATGGTCGGGTGTTAGCTTTCCTGAGCGTCTTCCATAATGTATTATCATTTAATGCCTGGAAACTGCGAGCGTGTGGCTAGTGCGTGGGCATTAACGGTCGTGGCTGGATGAGGGCCGAGTGTATGCACAGACCCACGGGTAAACATTGCACCGAGATGGCAAAACACTATCCGTGAAGCCATCTAGTGTAGACACAGCCCGACGGGAGTGGATCGAGTTCGTAAGGGAAATCTTTCCCGTGAAATCATTCACTCTACAATTGCCCAGGCAATGCCAACGTCCATTTTCCCCGAAATTTTCCCCGAATTGCGACCACTGATTTGACTGTGTTCTGGAAATCAATATGCACTTCTCACTCGTTGGAACGCCGAATTTCAAGCGTACCTACCAAATAATTGCACTCGCTATGGGCACATCAACAGAGACCGATTCGTTTAGACATGTTAAGGATTCAATGTAATTTTCTTGTCTGGTTGGCCTTAAAACACAACAAATGTTGCAGCCATGTGAAAAACACGGGCCCTCGAGATAACCATGCCAGGGGACACGCCATCCAATTCGGAAAAGGACGCAGAACTGCGGAGCCGACAGAACTCGGCTGCGCTCAGTACTTGCCAATGACGATTTCCAAAGTGAAGGGCGTAATGCAAGCGTCACTTGACCTTTCGTGACCTGACCTAACCTGACCTTGCACAAACGTAGACCTAGCTATGGATGAACACCAACAGTAGCATACTGTCAAATGCAGCACGCTGTCAAATGGGGAAACTTGGTGCCTGCATAACACCTTTTTATCTTCACACGCGCTGGGGTGTAATTTCCCAAAATATGTAAAATTTGACTGTTCAGCTGACCTTAAAGGCCAACTAGCAAGCGCATTTAATGACACTGATGTGCAATGAGGCTTAATAAATAAATGTAGGCGTCACTATCGCAGGATAGTGGTGCCTATTGGCATGCGTCATAGCCATACTGCAAGTGTTCACGTATTTAGAACCAAACTTGTCCGATTTGAGCTACATGTTTCAAACACAGCTGCAAATCTGATCTTGATTCGCGACCGTAGAGCCCTGCGCCCACATGGCTTCCATATGAATGCAATTGGCTGCCCAATGTGGGGTTGACATGGCTACCATATGCTGGGGAGGATAAATATAACATTTCACATTCAACATGTCAGCATGTCATAGTCAGCACAGAGTGCCGCACCTCAGTTTGCTTGTGAGAGTGGTCGAGATAATTCCATCATTTCCGTGGCAATTATATGTCCACAAATTTGCATAATTATCCTAGAACGAAGAGAGGTGCCAGAATAATTTCGAGGCGTCTGCAATGTACAGCACGAAGTACAAAGTACAGCACCTCCAGCACAAAAATCAGTTAAAAATAGACAGAGTTAAAGGTGACATAGGTTGAATTTTAGATAACACAAAAGCTACACCAATTTTCCTCGAGCCCCTAAGGGAGAACAAAATAAACGAGTTAGTACAAATTTTACCTTTTAAGGCGAACGACGATGATTTGGAGTTCGGCGCGTCGACGGCAAATAGCCATGCAGCGCCTATGAAAAACTACCTGCTGCCCGAAGCAGACTCAAATAGGAGCAGGTAGCATGTGCGACCAGGTAGACGAACACATATATCTAATACCAGTGGTATTAGACACCTATGGGCAAGGCGATCTCTGCAGCGGCATATGAGCGTACCTGACCAAAAGGAGCAGAGTTGTCGCTACTAAATTAGGAACCTGGCTTACGTAAAGAGCTGTTCGATGAAATAGCTAATATGGATACGTTCAGTTCAGGTATAGATATGTTCAAACCTCTTATAGGACCTTGTAAATTAAGCATCAGCAGGGTGTAATTTGCCATATCTGTATTTGTATGACAAGGTAACCAAAGTACTCAAGCCGGCAATGCGTCTCTATTATGCCTAGCGACATGGGGGCAGTAATAGCGCAACTGCGACAGCTATTTTCTGCACAATATGTCAACCCCTCAACACCGGTACATGGTCTTCGCGATGCCGCTGGGCAGCCCCCTCATCCCCGTGTATCGCCAACGTCTGTCAATCTAGCAGCAGATCGTGTATCGCCAACGTCTGTCAATCTAGCAGCAGGTGGATATCCAATTGCCAGTTGGATATTCCGGGGCGTCACGATCGCCTCCAAATTTGGTATGCATGACCTCTTGACACGCTGATTCCGAAAACCACAGCCTTTGAGGTAGAATTTTGCGTAATTTTTTAGTTATACGCTGCGTAACATCCCATTGTGATATTGCGGGGCGTCTCGATTGCCTCCAAATTTAGTGTGCAGGACCTTCTCAACACGCTGATTCCGAAATCACTGCTTTTGGGGTAGAATTTTGCGTAATTTCCGAGTTATATGCCGCGTAACACAACAGCTGGGTATTGCGGGGCGTCTCGATTGCCTTGAAATTTGGTGCGCAGGACTTTCTCAACCGCTGATTCCGAAAATCACTGCCTTTGGGGTGGAATTTTGCGTAATTTCGAGTTATATGCCGCGTAACACAACAGTGGATATTGCGGGGCGTCTCGATTGCCTTGAATTTGGTGTGCAGGGCCTTCTCAACCACGCTGACCACCGGCGTGTCGAAGGCCGCTGTCCGGCCGGCTATAGCTGCGGGCCCCCTGACCACCGGTGTGTCACCCCCCGCCGCTCGGCAGGCTCGCGAAGTGCGCGTCTCCACCACGGGTCAGGAGCAGTGGGCTGATGTGGCCGGCCAGCCAACAACATGGGCATGGCGTGCACAAGTATGCATGCGCTGTCTCCACCAAGCGTCCTGGGAGGATAAGTCCCCTGCGTCACCAGCGTCCCTTGGAGGATAAGTCCCCTGCTGTCACCTCCGGTCCCGGGAGGATAAGTCCCTGCGTCACGCGTCCCTGGGAGATAAGACAGAAGGTGACGTCACCCAAATCATCATGCTCCAGCGGTGAGGCACGATGGTTTGGTCACCAGCGACACTCTTGTCAGTTTTTGGTCAGGACAAACAATGCCCGTCTACTACGTCGGACTATTACTCAACCACCTTAAAGGTCAGAAAAGGAACAAAGGTGAAAGGGGTGCCACTGGGTGATACCACCCA